AAGGGGTGCATATATCCCCTTACAATAAGCTTCCACATCACTAAAGTGTTTTTCAGGCAGAAGTGACTGCCATAAAGAAAGCTTTAGCTTGTTTAAAAGTAAATAATATACTTGGAAGGAATACACTTTAAAGTCCTTGAGTTCAGTCCAATTTACATCTAGAATAGTCTTTCACTGTTACACATGAGATGTCGGCGGAGTTCAATATTTCTCTAATCTCGGTTCCCGGTCTTACGGTCTTAACAAGACGGGTTGCTTCACGAAACCACTCGGGACACCTAAACAATCTTCGCATATTGTTGACATCATGTCAATTGGTAATGAGTTCTTCGTATGTCGAACTTTTTAATAAAAGATGGGAAGACTCAACGATATGCAGACATCTGCATGCAATTTGGCCACGCGCTAATAAAAGAAAATCAAACTTTCTCATCGTGATGCCCCGTAGAGATATCAGTCTCTACTACAAAGTAGGTTTACTTACAGGTCATTGTATTTTAGGTAAACACACTAGGAGAAAAAATCTTCCTTTCAACCATTTCTTCCGCATTTGTGGTGAGGACGATGAAAGTGCCTCCCAATTACTTTGCTTCTGTTCGGCACATGTAAAGCGCCGCCTTAAATCTCCAGGGGTTTTCTTTTTTGAGGATCTTTTTTTTTTCTTCCTTTCTCTTAATAGCATCATAGGCTTTGTCAGAGGTTTTAAATAGTTTTAACCCTTGGATTTTTCATAATACGGTAGCATAATGTGCCTACAGACCTAAGTGGATCTCTTGCGAACGCCAGTATAACCTAACCTTTTATTTCTCTCATTTATAACTATAGTCAAACAATTTTGAATTCAAAAGAACTCTTAGTTTAAATTTGCCAGTGTTTTCCAGTGTACAAAGGACACTGATAAATATTCAATGGTATCCAAAATAGAATCCAATTGTTTAAAAATTTAAGTTTTAAATTTAAAAATATCCTCTTTATTACTGATATTACCCTATAATGATTTTTGTCGAGTTTATGGCTCTGAGGATGAGGTGGAGACCGTGTTCCATCTTATGTGTCAGTGTTCTTCTTTAGCTAGAAGAATATTGAAAATCTTCAGATCTCCTTTTCTTACTGATCTGAATGAGCTGTCGTCGTGTAATGTTAGGGACCTGACCAAGTTTATAGAACTGTCAGATTGGTTTTCGTTTACCTAATGGGGGATTTGTTACCTTTTTCAGCGTTGGCTGTAACTGATTTAAATCTGTGTACGTACCAATGCTATTCCTGTGGTACACCAATGGGCCATCATGTGTGCTCATTGGGCCACCACTTCAACCTACTTACCTTTCTACCCGCTTTTTTATTTCAAACGCAGTTCTACTCGAGTCACTTCTGGAATTTTGTATGAACACAAAATTCCAGACTTTAATTAAATACAATAATTAATCAAAGTAAAGCAATATTATTTTATTTTTCAAAACTACAAGCATCTACTCATATATCCTTAATAACTCAAATAAATTAAATGTACACGTTTGCTAATGTCCTTTTTGTTTATTATTGATTGCGATACAAAGTTATAATTATCTGAAATACACATTCGATAGTGCAGGATTTGCTATGATTACCAAAGTTCGTCCTTGATAACAAAACTATTTGTGTTTTTGTTATCATAATTATTGTTGTCATAATTAGTTTCATTATTTCTGTACACGTTTATAGAATTATTATTTCAGTTTGATTATCGTCATTGTTATTGCTGGTCCTGCTGGTCCTGCTGCTCCTGCTGCTCCTGCTGGTCTTGCTTCTGATTATAATTATTGACAAGTGCTAAATATTGGTATTGGTCTGTATTTATACTCGTATATGACAATGAAAAATTTTTTTAATTAATTCTGAAATCAAAAATATTGTCACAGTTTATTTGCATGAGTATTCGAAATAATATCAGTAAAATATTCTGCCTATGCTATTTATAATTCAGATAGATACTCCTACATTTATAAATATGTTTGCTGCAATTAAAGTATATTTTTGCAAACTAAAAATGAAAATATTTTTGCTTTTTGAAATTAATAAAGTATCCTTGACAGCAAGCAATTTTAAACTGCAGGAAACTAAATGTTTACAATAAATTTATGACATAAAATGTTGTTCAGTTTTGAATTTAAATTAATATAATTTTGTAGGTTTATTTGACGGCAATTTCAATTTTATCACTTAATATTTATTAATGAGAGATATTTATTTTAGGCACATTTTTTATTTTTAGCAATTATTTAAAAATTTTAATGAATTTTTTATCATTTAAGAAGTTCGTGTTGCTACTGTTAATTAAAACTCACTGATTTCTGCTAATAATGTTCTACAAAATAGGCGTCAAAATAAAATATTCAAATTAATTAAATTAGAATAAAGTTTTCCTATTGCGAACAATAGTTTTTTGACTAAAAAATATAAATTTAAACTTATTGATAAAATAAAATAAGCTTTTTCTAAAAATTTAAAGAATTTTACTTAAATTATAAGCCAGAGTTAAAGTCAACATATGGCATTATATATAAACACACTAAGAAAAATAATTTAGTTAATTTAACCAGATTTTAATTAAATCTCAGGTCAAAATATTCTTACTCGACACATCATATTGGTTTAACTATACCATATGTTGGTTTTCATATCCTCTTTACGTCAACTTAACTAGTATGTGGTTGAAACTTATTTGTCTAAGTGCACATTATTTTTTCTCATTATGCAAGGAACACGAAATGATCACTTTGATGCAAGTTCCGGAGCATGAATGACATGAAGACAACTAAAAGGCTGACTGCCTAGTCAAATAAGAAGCCTATAGACGTATATGTAGAGTTTCTATATAAAACCAATTCAAAACACTTTTTTTTGGAATATTTTCAACCCATTGAACTATTGAACATTGGAAGGAAACGAATTATACACAATTTCATTGAAACGAATGTGTTCTGAGATGTAGCACCAAGACAAATTGTTAAACTTCTCAAAAGTCTTATAATGTACAAGTTACTTTAGATAATTCTATAGCGCAACAAATACTATATATGATAGTGTACCATTGATCCTTCTAATTCCCTCTTTGGAACATGGGTTACAATACTCCCGAATTAAGACATATATGTCATAAAAGGTAACTAAAACCCAGTAGGTACTTCCAGATACTATTTTGAGTATAAATATTATAAGTGAGTTTCTCTTACTGCACGAGAGCAACGGTATAATCTAGTACCAGAAGGGTTAGGGCCCACCGCTTCGGCTGTACTGATCAATATAGGTTCGCCGCTTCAATAGCAGTGTGATATACTGACACAAATGATATTCAAAAGAAAGGGCATCTCAAAAACAAAGTTTTAGGAAAATTTTGTTTCAATATCTCTATTAGTTTAGAAAATATCGAATTTTGAACGGATAATTTCTGTTTTGCCACACTGTGCAGCAGTGCAAAGTTAGTTGAAGTCCTTAACAGTTTCACAAGTATAGTCGCCAGCAACCAGTTTGGCTTCCAAACTTCGTACAATTCTACATATATTTGAAATTTCGTATCTTCTATTAGGATCCGAAATTTTCTTTAAAATATAACAAAACAGATAGTATAAACAATCTATAGAGCGCAAATTTTGTCTGTCGAAAGAGAGCTCTCTACGAAATCTCTAATTAAATTAAAAATTTACATAAAGAGGTTTTCAAAAAATAGTGAACAACAAAAATTATTTTTTATGTTATTTTAATTAATTGAATTTTGGTTTCGAGTATTGCCAAATATTTTACCCATCATCAGTGGCTTTGGAAATAATTCTTGTATTCAATTAGTACAAGAAATCGAAGTCGTGCCCTGCCAATTTTGAAACTCAGGGTCAGCGCACCTTAACCAACTGACTCAATGCCGTACTTAGCTTTTATATTCGCACATTTTTATTAACAAATTCACTTGCTGTGTTTATATTAGAACGAAATTAGCTTTAGAATAAATGGAATTTGAAATTAAAAATTTACTAAATTTCTAAGTTTCGTTTAAGTCAAATATTAATATCATATAGCAATATTAATATAGCGTATATATATTAATATAGCAATATTAAAATGTTCTTTTAATATATTAAATTAATAATCTTATCGTGAAATCTATTACAAAATATATGGAATATTTCTTTTGTGCTTTCTTTAAGAAGAAATTCAATATAAAAGTTCAATTCCCTTGGCTAAACTTTTGGTGACACACAAGCTGAAAAGTCAACAAAACCAATTCCAAGTAACCACAACAAACTAAAGTGAACGCTTCAACTTCTATGAGTAACTGCGTCTGCAAACTAAAGGAAAACTTTTATTTTCCGATGCCTAAGGATATGTGTTTTATGAGCGTTTTTTCGTCGCAGAATTAAATTGTGGTTTCTTTCTCCAATTTTATTTCTGTGCTTTTTTCTGCATATGCAGGATTATGAATTCAATGTCATTTCACACGCGTTCAGCTAACTTTCAACTTTTTTGTTGGCCTCTAAGACATGTTCATTAACATTCATGCATCCAAAAACGTGATCGCCACAAATCCTCCACTCGTACACTGGGATTTCGCAAACATGCTTAAAGTTTTGCTTTTCCATTTTCCATATATACAAAAGTTAGTTTAAGGATTTTTTGCATTTGCTTGTATGGAATAGTAAATTGTCCACAAATCAAATTAAAAAATAATACAAAATTCAGTTTCTATTCATTTACAAGCAATAATTTATGACGTCGCATTGTTAGTAGAGGCAACAAAGTTAATGTACTTGTGGGTTATTTGCTCTTTTTTTACTAAAAGTCCTTAAATTTCAATTTAATTTGTTGCTTATTTATTATGTGTAAAATGAAATATTTTAAAATTTTAAATGGTCTTCAAGTTTTATTATTTTTATTTTCATTATTGTTTTTTTTTCTTTATTGTTGTTAAAAGTTCTGTAGTCGTCATTCATCATATTTATTATTTTTATCTTGTCTCTATTTCCCCACAGTTACTACTCGCAGCTGCGTGCGCTTTTTGTCATATCTCTGCGACGGCGGCGACAAGTTGGAAGGACAATGGTTATGGACGAAACAATGGAGAAATTATGGTACAACAGAAACAACTGCAACAACTAAAACAAGAGAACCGTAATAATGTGCAACAGCTAAATGAACAATGGGGGTCTTCATTGCAACAGCAGGAACAGCAGCAAGAACAGCAGCAGCAACAACAACGACAACAACTACAATTACAGCAACCAGAAAAAGAACAGCAAATTAAAGAGCAGTACCACTATGACGAACATGCTGATCCCTATGATTTAGCCAATTTATGGCGTCTGCGGCAGATATATGAATATTTTAACAACGAACTTGGCAACAACATAAACAAATATAACTATGAACACCAACGATTACAACAACTACAGCACCAGCAGCAGCAACAGCAACAGCAACATCACATACAACTCTATGATCAAGATAATGAAAATGAAAATGACAATGGCAACAACAATAACAATAACAACAATGACAGTTACTTTTTCTACAAACGTAGCGTTGATGACGACAACTACGGCAACAATATAAATAGTAACGGAAATCCCAGTAGTGGCAGCAGCAATAGCAACAAAGATGGCATCGACAATGACAGCAACAGCGACAATGTATATAACGAATGCAATTACAGCAACAACATAGGTAAACATACACAAAACACTCCCATTTGCGCGAGGAACGGTGTTATAGTCCGTGCGGCAAAATCGCATCAGGATGCCAGAAATGGTTTCCGTTTGCAATTGTCTGCTTCAAATGAGTATGTTAGCAATAGTGCTAGTAATAATAACAACAACAACGATAACAACAACAGCAACAGCAATAATTACAGCAACAACAATAGCGACATTCTAGTTGACAGTGACAGTAACATTAACAGTAGCAGCGACAATGCGAACCACTACGCAAACACACACAATGACATAAACAGCAACAGCAACAGCAACAACAACAACCAAAATGGCGAATATGTCCACTCGATTTCTACACGCAGCAAAAGGTAAAATTTTTAACAATGAAGTAACCACAACAACAACAAAAACAACAATAACAATGATGTAGCTTGTTAGCGTTGTCATAGGGATTGAATTTTGTTTAAATGGTTGGAAGCGGGTTGAGTAGTTTACAGTAGTTAGCAAAGTGATTTTATTGTTTTAAAATGCATTGTCGGATTTAATTTAATATGTCTTAAAACTTAAAAACATTATCAATTAATATTTAATTAATTATTTACATTTTTTGTGCTCCTTGGTTTCCGTTTATTTCTTCAATTTCCAACTATCTTCATAAAAGAGTCATCCTATGTCGAAAAAAGAAATATAAAGCTTACTCTAGAGACCCATTGCAGGAAAACAGTGCAAGATAAATAAAAAAAAATTCTTAAAAAAAATTATTTCTAAGATAAACATAAAAATAAAAATAAACATAAGAACTTTTATAAAGAATTTTAAACAATTTACAAGGAATAATAAGAAAATTTTTCATAAATAAAATTTAAACAACTAAAATTTTTGAAGACATTTAAAAATATAAAAACATACTTTTTAGGGAAATTCAATATTCATAATATAAGAATATTTATATGATCAACTATCGTTTCTGAAAATTCATAAGATTTGTGATTTGTGACAGTATCTGTATGTTATCCCATAATCAAATTTATAGATATATACACATATATTAAACTCTTTTGTACTACGTACCTTATATTTTAGT